GCAACTGTTAAAAAGTATATAAGCCTCCTGATTTTGCTCTTGTGGGGGGACCCCTTCCAAGTGCTTGAGAAATCCATGTCACTTTGGAATCCCCCCTACAGCTGTAGTTTCTTTTGAATAAAAGCTTCTGCTGACCTGACCCAAAAGTATGCTGTGTGTGTTTCCACGACACTTTATAGGTTATTATAGATAAGGTATCATTTGCGACCAGTTTTTGCCTAAATTATACAAGCAACTAGTCTTGTGGAGTTCAACAAGATACATTTTACAAAAAAAGAAGAGGTTTGAAGTTTAAGCTAAAACTTAATCTAGAAAATACTTCACTTTGTCTACTAATGGATAACATACAGAGTCAGAACCTCCAAAAGCAAAAACTGGTCTACCTCCATACTGAGGGGGGGGATTTAATAGCAGCCTTCAACTACCTGAAAAAAGGTTCCAAAGAGGATTGAGCTAAACTGTTCTCAGTGGTGGCAGAAAACAGAACAAGGAGCAATGGTCTCAAGTCTCAGCAAGGGAAATTTAGGCTAGATATTAGGAAAAACTTTCTCACTAGGAGGTTAGTAAAACACTAGAACAGTTTACCCAAATAGATTGTGGAATCTCCATCCTTGGAGGTTTTTAAGACCCATCTAGACAAAGCCTTAGCTGGGATGATCTAGTTGGGAATGGTCCTGCTTTGAGCAGGGGGGTGGACTAGATGACTTCCTGAGGTCCCTTCTAATCCTAATTTTCTATGATTCAGTTATTCTATTATTTCAATTGGGTTACACCAATTTACACCAGCCAAAAATCTCTGCTTTAATAATTTAGTTCATGCAACATGTAAAAATTACAGCAATATTTATGCACAAAAGTGCACTTCAAGGATATCAGTCTTAAATTTTAATGCCTTTCTTTAGTAAGTTTTAATTAGACATTTAATATTACTTTGGCATAGTCATTTAGGTCCTCTTGATATTACGACACTTTTCAAATACTGTTCTTGAGCGCCATTTAAGGTAATAACAGCGTTCAAGCAGAGAGGGAATATTGTGTTAAAAAGACTGATGGAAACAGTTCTTTAACATCTGCCAGGTGTCCACAGCAAAGGGGATCATATCTGTTTAGAAGTGAAGTTCCAGTCTTAAACACAACTTACAAAAGTCACTTTTGAACACTTTGCTTGCCGATAGTGATTATCTCCTGCCAACACAACCATATTACCTGATTATTATGGCAGCAGTTTTTTCTGATGCAATGAAAGTTCTGATTCTGCATTATGCAACCAGTGGGTTCAGAGGAGGTAAAATATAGGACAAGGAGATCCAGATTGGCAAACTAGGAGTTTAAACAGGACTTAAATACCCGCAGTGCCTGCTCTCAGAGACTGAGGACTTGGGAGTAGATGCAGAGAGATGAATCCAGAGCAATTTAAGCATTCATTTCCAGTCTGCAGGGTGCTTGTGGACTTGGGTGCATGGCATAATGTATTCAAACCCCACAGCATCTGTTAAACAAACCTGCTGCTGTATCAGTATCAACAACCAGAGGCAGGCTCAACCCAAGAAGTAGGGCCTGGTTTAAATCTGGATTTCACATTTTTCATGAAAATTATTTTAATGAAAAATGCAATTTGCAATGAAATGCCATGATATGGACACTTGCTCGGGAGTTCCCCAGCAAGCAGCCATATCATGGCATTTTGTTGCTCATAGAAGTGTCTGAATGTATGGAGATATGTCTAGAGTGTCTGCCATGCTCACAGAAGTATCTGAATGTCTGGAGATATATAACTTTTAATTCCCAAGAAGTCCACATACACTCCCTTCCTTGACCTATATTATAAAAATAAGAAGCGTGTTACAGAGAATGCATCTACACCAGACACTGACTGCACGGTAGCCAAAAAATACTGCGCAGTAGGGTGTCACACCAAGATTAGGGCTAATACACTACTGCGAAGTAGTGTCACTTAAAATATGTTTGCCCATGCTACTGCACAGTAACTCTGGTTACTGTGCATTTATTTAGCACTTGCTATTACAAGTACTAAATAAATGTGCATTAACGACCGCACAGTAGCATCTTGTGCAGAGGAGCCAAGAGTCTGTTGATTTGAAACTTGTATCTGAAAGTGCTTTCCAGTACCGTGGCAAGGAAGTTTGGTGTCCGGGACAAAGCCCACAGTGTCAGCCTGTCCTTGCCCCATGCACAGATCTGGGGGGCACATGCTTTCCCATGCTTGCCCAGAAGTGCACACAGTGGTGAAAGCTGCCTTCCCCTGTCCCTGTGGCCCCCGCAAATGAGCCACTCGTGGCTTTGACCCATGCTCTGCCCTGACAGGGCAGTGCCTGTTAGCACCTCTTTGCTTCAGTGCCCTGGGTGGTTGCCCCACTCACCACCCCACACCCCCCGCTTGTTACATCAATAGTGCTTTCTTTAATCATGAGATGTGTCATGCAGAAGGCAGGGTAGATTTGCGCCTTATAGACTAACCAAAGAAGATTTCTATATCTCACAAGTTTTCATGAACTGAAATTCACTTTATCAGATGTTGTGAAAGAATGGGAATAAAAAATGTTAAATGACAATGTCATATGTCTACTTGTAAAGCCAGGGCATGTCAGGGAGTGGCACTTTACAAAACAAAATCCCTACCATAAAAATGAGTTTGTGGCCTGATACTGCAAACACAGTTAGCTATGCTGCCTGTTATCATAATTGGATTATATTAAGAAGATTATTCATAGTAGAATGTATGTGCAGGATCAGTAAAATTCAGCACCCTGAGACCTAGCAGCTAACACGCTCCAACCTTTTGTTTCGAGCCAAATTTGCATGCTTGCAGAGCAGCCTGAACACAACAGAACTTCCTGGCCCAGGCAGACCTTTCCATCACCAGTACTCCTGTGCTGTATGAAACACCTTAACAAGAAAGAAGCATAATTCAACATCCTGCTTGCCATCAGACACCTTTGAGGTAAGTAAACTGCTCCAACTTTTACCAGAGCCTAATTTGCATAAAATCAACTTTTCCAGCCAGAAAAACTTACACTACCCTCCAGCTCTCTTGTGCAATATGAAGTTTCATTTCTACCTAGGAGAAATGTTACAATCTTTGCATTCTCCTTTGCCTGGGGAAGGGCACACGAGCCCAAAAGCTTGCAAGTAAAGAATTTTTTTGCAGCTGTCTAGTTGTTCTAATAAGAGATATCATCTCTACCACACTGACTGCTTTTGCTGTTTAGACCAACACAGCTACAACCTTTATCCCTGAAACAGGTGCAGGATCAGGCACTTTGAGAGCTGTGAATGTTTCAATGACACTTTTTTTAACAGGCTTCTCCTGAGAAAGTCAGAGAGAAAAACAGGCCTCTTTCAATAGAGAAAAGAAGTACTTTGTTTTTGTTAGTGCCAGAGTGTAATTGCAGTGATGATGATTCAGGGAATATGCAAGAAACAAATCATTTGGTAGTATTTCGCTTTGGCCTACAACAACACAGAATCTATGCAAAGTCACTGTTCAGAATGGAAAAATCACATGAAGGGAAAAAAAAAAGCCCAATCCAGACTTGGGGGCGGACTCTGTGCTCAAGGACAACTAGAATGGATTTGATAGCTCTTCCCATAAAATACATTACCAGTCTAATCTTGCTTCTTGCTTTCATGAATCCGGCTGCTTGGAGCTGGGAGGGAGAAAACCCTCGTAACTACTAATCCCTTATCAGCAGGGATCCTGGTTAATTAATCCCCAATTTTTGGTTAAAAAAGTAACCCCAAATCCACGTTTCCATGATTAACATGAAACACCACTAAAATATAGATAAATCTAGATAAATCTATATTTTAGATTATTTTTATTATATATATAGATATATCTATATATTAGTGGTGTTTCATTTTAATCATGGAAACATGTGAACCCCAAATCCCAAAAAGTAACCCCAAATCCATGTTTTCCATGATTTAAATGAAACACCACTAATATCTATCTATCTATCTATCTATAGTAGAATTATATCTATCTCTAGATAGAGATAGAGATAGATGTTAGTGGTGTTTCATTTTAATCATGGAAATATGTGACCCACAAATCCCAAAAAGTAACCCCAAATCCACGTTTTCTGTGATTTAAATGAAACACCGCTAATATCTATCTATCTATCTATCTATCTATCTACAGATAGAATAATATTGATATCTATCTATCTATCTATCTATCTAGACCCCAAATCCACGTTTCCATGATTAAAATCAAACACCACTAATATCTATCTATCTATCTATCTATCTAGATAGTTAGATCTAGTTTGATTTTAATCATGGAAACGTGGATTTGGGGTCACTTTTTTTTAACCAAAAATTGGGGATTTTTTTTAAATCAGAGAAAACCAGGATCCCATTTTAGTTATCAATCACCTCTGAATAGCTTTGGGTGAATCTCATACCTTTTACTAAACCAACCTACATAGTCGGGGGAGAAAATTTTAGCAAGCTTTCAGGTTTACATTTTTTCCCAGCTATTTAATTTTTTTCCAACTATTTAAGTTGGTCTACTAAAAGATACCAGATTCACCCAAAGACCCTTGTCTGCCTCTGTCCTTAGCCCCGCACGGCTCCCGCCTGCACCCCTGTGAAGAAGGCTGACAGCGGAGCAGCGCAGCCACCTGGGCCCGGCAGGGTGCGGCCCGGAGCGAGCTGTCCGCCCCGCGGGGAGACCCCTCCGCTCAGGTCTCGTAGATGCGGCAGAAATGAATGAATCCCGTCATTGTCCCAAAGGCCCCGGGCGCCTCTTCCCACCGCGCTCCCAGGGAGCGGCCGTGCTGGGCGCTGCTGAGCAGATCAGAGCAGAGCAGCTGGGAGCAGGTCTGAGCCTGTCACCGCCCCGCCTGGCTCCTCCTGGCCCAGCCCGGCCCGGGTGGGCGGCGGCGGCGCTGGGGAGCTGGGCCGGGCAGACGCGGCGCGATGTGGCGGGGGGGGG